ATATATTATACATGATGATGTTGTTTACGTTTTTTTCTTTTCCGGATTTTTCTTTTCCGGATTTTTGTTTTCCGAATTTTTCATTTTCCGGATTTTTTCTTTTCCGGGTTTTTTATTTTCCGGATTTTTGGTTTTCCGAATTTTTGTTTTCCGAATTTTTTGTTTTCCGGATTTTTATCTTCCGGATTACAAGACATATTCTTATTTCATACTGTTGTCTCAATGAAATAATTGAGAAAAAAACGTAAACAACATCATCATGTATAATATATGATGTTTATATTGCCAAAAAACATACTGTTGCGCACCATTTAGCATCATCATAATTGACTATAAACTATTAGTTGTCTGCTGGTAACCTTGTCAAAAAATACAATAAGATAATATTACTAGTAATTTGCTATCATCGAAATTCTTCTTGTGCATATCGAGTTAGAAGTTTGCTTTATATAGGGCTATTGTTTTTATTTTTATTTCAATGATAATGAGTTGCAATTAATATTTATGTGTATTTCTTATTGAGAACACATAAAACATATCAAAAATTAAAAGTAGTACTGTAGTTTGTTTAATTATACGGTACATATTCATCTATGATAATTATCAAGTTTTTCGAAAGGTTTTGAAATCTTTGAGTATCGATCATGTGCAACGTGCCAGAAGTTTCTGATTCATAGAGCTAGCCTAGCTCTAACTTCAATAAAAATATGGCAAAAATTAATGATTACTCATGAAAATCTGTATATCATGAGATAAAGTACTGCACTACTTAGTGACAAGTACATAGAGATGAGTGTTGTAATCGAAGAGTTGGATTAAACCACTTTGGCTCTTCTAACAGATTGATTCATATTGAGTCGTAAGTTGCTCATATAGCCATCGACTTCCGACTTCGTGCAAGGTTGGATATGAGATAAACACTTCAATTTTTGTTTTGGATATGAAACTCTTTTGAGTTGTCTTGTCAACCAGTTTAAACTTGTTCTAGGGAATGAAATTCAACTTGCTTTTCTGTTGTAAACGACTTTATTCTTAACCTGTTTCTATAGAAACAAGATTTACGAAGGCGAAATGTTCATGTGTAATTGATGGCAACATGTTTAACCATTGGTGAGGTTGTAAATAGTTTATTCTACAAGATTCATATGCGATGACAAAAATCTCTTTTCTTAGTTAAATATGATTTGCAATGAAGAAAGAAGATGTAGTCATGAGTAGTTTGATGCAGTTTATTACGTGTGTGTCTATCGTATGAATCGATCGAATGACTATTTCTCGTGTCGAGTGAACGAGGAAAAAAATATTTTTTCAATATGTCATAGTGTGTTTGAATGTCAATTGTGCTTTTAGATTTTATCAATATTCATCAATCTCTTTTATATGTATTTATTCAAAAAGAATAAAATAAATTGACATGAAAGAGAAATTTTATAAATTTTTACGATGCATATTCATAGGTTACTCTCATTGTCGGTTGTCTTTGTGCAAAATATGGTGACCATATTGATCGTGGATACGTTGCCTGCCATGAGTTGTAGTATGGCCACATTGTATTAATGACTGGCATACCTGTTAAAATTTGTGGTACTAATTTAAATGAATGATTTGGATGGAGTACTTGTGCTCTTACAATGCACTCATCACATAAATCATAGGTATTGAATCCCCGACATTGTTCACACTGATATCGCATAGAACCATTTATTTGACCACAACCATCACAATACCATGGTGCTGCTGACATTATGAATTGCTTTTTAAAATGAGTTAAGTAATGTTAACGAGAAGACGAATTTGTATATATACAGTCTTGTCAAAAGTAAAAAGTCACTAGAACTCCACACTCTTATATACATGCAACGATACGAGTGGGTGCAATATTGCAGTGCACGCAAATCAAGAGTAATCGATGTAATAATTTGTTGGAGTTACTCATTCGAAACCTTTGCGTTTAAACACATCAGTATAAATCATATGACGAAGAAAGGAAAACGGAATTGACAACAAATTTACCCATCAATGAAATAGGATTTTTCCCATAAAGAAATAGACACAAAAAACAGTGTTCGCTTGAAACTCTGATCAAGATGTTGAAATAATGAATTGATTTTCTCATTGAGAGAAACCCAAATAAATATTTATGACTCTCTTCTTAGTCTCTGATAAAGAAACCACATGTTTTGTCTAGCATCGAATGTTGCATACGAAGAAAAAAACCTGACTAAGAAACACACTTTCTTTCTATATTTCTTCCTTGAAAATCGATTTATCGTTTTATGGCAGAGTAGGATAGGTGTTTTCATTATCAGAACTAAAGTATGGTGCCTCTTTGAAAAATAATGCATTTTTCAACTCTTAACAGTAAGCTTTTTCCAAGTTCCGAATAAAAACTCATTATAAGATATATATATATATATATATATGAAAGTACTGTGTACATCAATACATACCTATGATGATATGTATCATATTTTTAATCTAGTGGCGAAAACAGGTTAAACACAAACTCATGAAGATAAAACGCAAGAATACCAATGCATTATGTGAAAACTCTTTCATCTATGTAGATCACGTATTTTTTCATCAAAACCTAGAAGATATTTGACAATGTCCGTTACATTTCAGTGATCTAATCATTAGCATATTTCATTGAACAAGTCTTTTCTCTTTTGAATCAAGTATATATATATATAGACAATGAATATTTCTTCATAAATCGTATAATGTGCTATCATGATTACTAGCATCATTGAATGTTTCCAATTTGTTAATGACGGTACATACGTCAAGAAAGAATTAGACAAAAGCTTAAGAAATTGTTATTCAATTACAAATATGTTTTGAAGTAGTCATGATAAACTTCTATGTTATGTACTCAAGCATCACTTTTGTTAAAAAACAAAGACAATTCTAAATAGCAGTTTTATCGAGTTTTTCACAGAAATATCCGGATTTCAGATAGAAATGACAGAGTTGTATAATGAGAGAATAAGGATATTCGATAACTATCATTTCAATATTCGATTGGAGTAAAACTTAACATTTTCTCTTAGATATTTGGTTGATTATAGATCAATAATCTATTCTGGTCATATTCTCTTTTGTCTCACTGAAACTTATGAATCATTGTCTGTGATTATTCACGAAATAATCTTCATTACAAGATTTTTCTTCAGAAAATACTTTCATTTGATTCTTATTGACAAGTAAACTAATAAAAGCATCTTTAAAGTTTGAATCAAGTTGGTAAAATATACATGTCTGTTATCTTCGATAATAAGTGATTCTCAGGGAAACTAAGAAACTTCTCATTGAACATGGTAGGTGAATACATTCTCGAAGTAGTCGAAACAGAATCATGAAAAACATTTTCTCTTGAAACAAAAGAGCAATTGATGAAAGAAGAGAGCATATCGTCGTTCGATAGATAATTGTGAATCGGTCAAAAGTTTTTTGTTGACTCACTTAGGTCGACTTTTATTTTTCATTCAGTAGTTCTCAACCGTTTGAATGGTATCGGATTCTTCCAACTTCTTCATAAATCTCAAGTGGCACTGGTCATTCATTTACATTTGAAAATGATGGAAGAACGGCCGAAGAACATGATATTACCTTGAAGTTGATTGATCAAGCCATTCAATTAGTTCTTAATTAGTTCTTCGGTTTGAATGAATTATTTGATTCTCACATAATCTCGACTCATTTTCTGAGACATGTGTTATGGCTGAGAAAACTTGTTCATTCAATAGAATTGAATTGATTGATGGAGCATTGTTGGAAGAAATGATGAACTTATTTTTTGTTTTCGATTCGATTCTTTGAATCAGAAATAGAAATGAATTTACACGATCTAAATTGAATTTCATGAAAGTTTCTGTTGGATTTGTATGTTTTGAAGTTGAGAAGGTCAATCAATGAATCAATGTGATATTTTCACATCAATCTTTTGACGTCAATCATGATTAGGAGAAAAGTTTTCTTTTGTTCAGAATACAGTGCTCGTCCAATGAAATGATATCTTGCGAAACAGATTATGATAGAATTGTCGAAGTTATTAATTGAAATAAAACTCCAATGACATTGTCATGTGGACATGAATATCATCAGAAATGGTCTATATCAATTCCATAGTTAATCTCAAATTACTTTAAATCCGATCTCAGTAAAATCCAAGCCAGTCTGTGTACGTAAGCTAACCTAACCGAAGAAGAATATATCATCAGAACAAACTGTTCCCATTGAAATGTCGATGAATTCGATAGAAAGTGATTCAGACAGTTCACATTGTAGAATAAAAAGTGATTGATATTTTTAACAACTTTGGTCATAAATCCATTGAAATATTTATTGAAAATTACCAAATATTTCGTATATTGATAATCACTTTTGTTCGGTACTGCTGA